TTACCATCCAACTTTGAAATGTAAAGTATATGGGCGGTCGCTTTGTTTTGCCTCCAGGCAAATCAGCTGGTCGTTTTTTGACCGTCACTGACGACTGTGAAAAAGCCCTACTATAACATATTAAGTTTATAAGGTATTGAGTCTTAAATAGTAATCTAATTCAGAGAAAATGTGTTACACATTTTAGATTATGAACTTAAAACATATACACCACAAAAATGAAACTGATCTGGTCAAAATAAAAGTACTTTTACGACAAAATAGGTTTATTAAAAAAATTAATTTTCAACGCCTCTTGCGTCAAATATTACCTAATAAAGTAACTTGACCCAATCTAGATTTGTTCCTCTATTCAAAAGTTATGCTAGCTCCATATCAATTCTAGGAATGGAAAAGACTTTAAACGAATGTGTTATTTATTTATTAATATAATTTTTTTTTTTTTGACAAAGTTTGAACGTTTGATGATTATTTTTTTATTAAATAATTATTAAATAAAAATAACAACAATTCAATTAAGAAATTTGAGAATTTGAAATAATAAATGAATTTGTAAATATTTAAATTTTTAAACTAACGCTGCATTTAATTTTCGCACCAAAAATGATGGGAAAGTTTGACCAAAAATGTCGACTAATCATGAAACGAAAAGATGTTACTCGTCGACCAATGAGCTGACGAACAAAACGACTTCATACGATATTTTTCGAAAGTAAAAGTAATAATCTTAATCTCTTGCTCTTTTTTTTAATTTTATTCATTTTTATCTTTTTTTTATTACTTATTTTGTTTTTAATTTTTTTTTTTTTAATAACTTATAATAATTAATAATAACTTATAAAAAAGAGAGCGGCCGAAAAGTGGAGCCGTGTAAAATGACCTCTGATCGGCTGACACTGATGACGATGCCTGACGCGAGCCGACTCTATACGAGCGCCTGCGCTGTTAATTGTCAGCAGGTAGTCAAAATTATTCGATAATCTCACGAGCACGTGGCCGTTCAGTCGTCAGTGAGAATTTGAATTTTCCAGTGAGAAAGTGTACCCGAAAAGTGTTGGTTACTTAGCGTCTACTTGATCGATTACCTTTCAAGACAGCTTAACATTTTCGTTTTTGATGTACTTTAATTTGAACTGAGTTGACACGTTTTTTTAATAATTTATCTCAGCGAAAAAGGCGTATAAACAAATGGAAAGTACGTCAGAGCCATAAAATTACGTTTATAAACGTCTACAAAATGCTTCATAAACAATTTTATTAACATGAAAATTATATATTGATAATAATGTATATTCTGACACATTATATCAATACATTACAATGTATTTCATATTTTAGCGCTGCTATGCCAACTTAAGGAGGTTCGGGAGTCTCAGAGGGGGACGAAGCGGGACGCGAGGGGCTCCTATACTTCCAATGTTGAATTTTTAGCGCTGCCAACTTCGAAATAACACGAAATTGTAGGTTTTTTCAATGAGCTGGCACACAATTATAGCTATTATTAATAATTCAATCATTTTGATGAGTTTTTTTCGATGTTTTAGGCTTAAAACAATACTCTATTTGTCATTAGAGTCGAATGAGCACATATTTTTGTTGTTCTAGCTTATTTGTTGGTTAGGGTACGCGCAAATGACCCACGAATTTTTACAAATAACAATTTATTTCTCGATAACTAAACGGTCGATGAACTTCCTTTTGCAGTCAAATTATTCCTTATTAAATTTCCTACATGTACGTATTTTTTTCTATTTAGTTTTTGTTTTTTTACATTATGTTTATGCTCATTGATAGCGAAAATTCATGATTTCTCGTAAGAAACCATGTTAAATGGTCAAAAAATTTTTTCATCATTTTAACAAAATTTTGCGGTGAAGAGTTGTATTTTGATACTAACGTTCATATTATAAAGTTTCAAAGCAATTAAACGTGTTTTAAAAATTTGGCTGCATTTCGCTGAGACTCCCGAACCTCCTTAATAATAGTAAACTATCTCTACAATTATGTTGTCACTCTTAGTCGAAAAAGGCACGACTCTCGCTGCCATGCTCACTTGCCTCTATGCTATGTATAGCTCGCACATGACTTACAATAAATCTTTTATTTTGTACACGAATCTTTAATTTACAATCCTGCCCAATTAACAATTCTTCATTATACTACATCATTGTGTAGGTTATTACTTTCAAAATGAGATGTCGATGAGCTCGATCGCACTAATACGAGCCAATTTACAGAGGTTGAAAGATAAAAAAAGGACGTATTTCTAGTAATTTTGCACTAATCATTGCTTAACTTTTTTCTACTGGACTGGACAAGCGAAGATGAATACAAGAAATAATAGTGATAGATAAATAAACAAATTAAATAATAAATGTTGGGCAAACAAGCCATAACATATTGCACAAATATTCATTTGCTTCGGATTCTGGTTTACGCACACAAGCGAGAACGCCTAAAGCCCACGATTGAATCTTTCGACTAACTGTATCTAGAACAAAAAAAGTACTTACGTTTTTTTCATTCAAATGCTGTCTTCGTACAAAAAGTTCCTGGCTTTTTTTTAAGAGTCCATCAAATTCCTCGTTATAGCTGTTTTCTTTTGTTTTAAGTTGATCACAGATTTGTTTCATGTATTGTCGATAATTATTTCTCATTTCTTCGACAGACAAATTCAGGATAATCTCGTCGAAAATGATTTTTTTCGAACGAGCGAAAGTTGTCGTTTCAATTTGAAGAAATAATTTTTCCATTTTATTAGAGGTTAGCTAGACTGCTCTATGTGCTTGCTAGATGGCTACTGAGACTCGAGCCATGTCTCTGCAGTACTAGGCTGTGTCTCTCGCAAGTTGTAACTGCGCGCGCATCCTACGCGCGTCGAAGCTCGCGCCATCTTTTGATTAAATCATTAACTTTTTTTGAAAAAATGGTGTTATCCAGAAATCCAAAAATCGCTCCAAAAATTATGAAAAAATTCAGGCATGTTCTTTGATCAATTCTAAACCTTTTTTGTGATATAACTTTTTCCCGTCAAGTTGATGGTTATCGAGTTAAAAATTGTCGAAATCATTTTATGACATACAGGTCTTCGGGAGTCAAATTTATGATCACCATTTTGAATTTCGTAATTATAACTGTTTTACAATAAAGTATACAAGCCATTGACCAAATTTATATGCGTGAGACGCACGCGCGAACTTTTTTTCCGAGTTGAAATTTGAGTTGAACGAGATTTTTTTCTCGAAATTTCATGTTTTTTTTTACAAAATTGTTTATAACTTTTTATTTAATAATTTTATTGTAATTCTGACTCCGGATTCGAAAAGTACATTAAATTTTACGTGAGAAATGATGTCTGAAAAGTTTTTAAAACAATTTTTAGTTACTGTAATTCATCGCTATAAATGTTGTCCAAAAATGGTCATTTCAGGCGTTAAAGGGTTAACTAAGTAAGCGATTGTAGGTTTTCTAGCCGTAGACAACGACAACGACAATTGAACAAACGTTCTTTTTTAATAATAATATAACAACCATCAATTCCCCTTCCATCAATTTTTATCCCTACCCACAAATCGTTCATAGCCTCGATCGCCAAATCGGCGACCGATCGATGACATCATATTTTGCACCCCCACCGACAAGTCGACTATAGCTTCGATCGTCGGACGACGACAGATCGCCGATCGGCATTTATTTTTACACGCCCTACCCAAACCCTCTGTCCGTCTCTAACCGATGCACGATAGATCTGACTGACAAAAGTGCAAGTGTCATTCCCACCACATTGGCCAAAAAACAATTGGTGTCGTCTCGCGCTACCATATCGTCACCAGTTCATTTTATCGTTCGACAGCTTCGAAGGAGTATCATCGTTATTTGTTCAACATGAATCGTCTCGAAAGTGTGACTTGGGTTGAGAGGGCTATTGCCAGGCTGGTTCGCGAGCGGCCGTTATTCTACGATCAACGCGCAAATGGTTACGGATACGCACCCACGATAAAAGCTGCATGGGCAGAAATTCGAGAGGAGCTGCTATTACAGCAAGTCGAAGGAGATGTGCTGGTTGGAAATCGTAAGAAAATCTTCATTTCGATCATATCTTTTTTTTTAAATATATTGCATTTCGGTAATATCATTTTTTTAAATGTATCTTTTTTTTCTAAAATTATTTGGTTGATGCGCTACAAGCAAGCGTCATGATTGTAAGATGCTGATTGTGAAGAGTCCTGATTACTAATTCATTTTGTTTCGTCTTTTTGTTACAGATCCAAACGATGTAATCATGACGTGGCAAACCATCAAAAGGGCCTATTCGAGATCCAAACTCCAAATAAAGAGGGGCGAGCGAACACTGCAGACTTTGACGATCCACAACCGAAAAATTATGGAGCTGCTCGATTTCATGAGACATTTTACCTACTACAGAAATGATTGAGTCTAATTAAAAATTGATAAAAATGATAAAAAAAAACTTGATCTTTGTAAATCAAATCAAATGAAAATGAAATAATAATCAGTGTTAAAATAAAACGAATCTTGTTTTTGATTTTTATATATCCTTTAAAAATAAGCACATAAGCTCGCATTCACTGGGAGGCATGGATTGGCTGCAGCAGAAAGGAAACAAGATTCGAGTGAGCGACGCCGATTTCTGCTACAACAACAAATCGCATAACCTGCAGTAGCCATAATAAATAATGAGTTATGAGAGTAGTAAGTAATATAGCATAGCATGGAGAAAGCACTCTACTATACTAGTACAGAAAATTTGCTATTTTCTAGTGGAGAAGGTGCAATTATTATTTGTTGGGATATGGTCCAAAATAGAAAACAAAAGGGTGAATGGATTGAATCCAAAATATCTCTTTTAAATTTCAAGTTACTGATAAAATGGCTAAATTAATTCATTTAATGAAAATAAACTTTATTTTAAATAAAAATTAATTCTAGGCATGTAGTAGACCATTCTTTTGAAATATAAAATCTATGGTAGACCAACGTAGATTATGGCTGAGACAACACCACTACCGTTATTGTGGCCAAGATTTATGTGCTAAATGCGATCATCTCCATCCATGGGTTTGGCATTTGAAGTGACTTGAAGAGGATGCATTTTGGTTGACGTTGTAGAAGATTTACTTCCAGCATTATATATTATTGTTCCACTCTAATAGGTTACTATTACTTATATAATATGGTTTTTTTGATTTAAGAGGACACACTTGTGTTAAACCCTATAAATGAAAAAACATGAAAATCATAAGCTATTACAATAATTTATTGTTTTTGATGCAAAGTTGTTTGTATTTGTGTTTTTACAAGACTTTTTACTTTAAAAAAGATGACTCTAATACCTGAAATCATTTAAGTCATAGCAGAGATTTCAGTATACTGATTTATGACTTTTCAGTTCCGTGCCGCATGATTCTGAAAATTCTGCTCCACTTAACTGGTAGAGAATTTTATTACAAAATTTGCATTCAGAATCATGCGGCACGGAACTGAAAAGTCATAAATCAGTAAACTGAAATCTCTGCTATGACTTAAATGATTTTAGGTATTATAGTCATTTTTTTAAAAGTAAAAAGTTTTGTAAAAACACAAACACAAACAACTTTACATCAAAAACAATAAATTATTATAATAACTTTTGGTTGTTGTTTTTTTATTCATAGAATTTCACACAGGTGTGTCCCCTTAAACGCTTTGGAAAACTCTAAACAAGTATTCGATGCCTTATCAGATACTCCTGGAGAAATCATTGTTGCAGATTAGTTTTTGGGGGCTGCATTAGAAATTAGTGGAACATTTACTAGGGCATTGGTAGATACAAATAGGAGAAGACATTTGGCACATTTATAGGCTCATCAAGGTGACCTTGTTGGGAACCCTGATTACCAAAGCAGCATTTGAATAAGTAAGATAGTCCACTACTCAAATTGTATATAGTGAGTCATTTTATGATGTAATGATTATTTTTTAGAAGACATATTAAGCGTACCAAATCTATTCTTGAAACTCTATTATTTGGGGAGGAAAAAACACAAAATTATGTAAAAATATTAGACAAACAGGTATTTACTGATGAAAATTAATGTTTAATAATTACCTTCTTTGAAATATCAGATGTATGTTATTGAAATTAAATTTTTTTTTCAGTAATTCTAATGGACAGGAGAGAATCAGTTGTACAGATTGCTGGTATGCGGCCATTCGTGTCCGGCATGAAAAGTTATCTCGTAAGTTTGTCTAATTACCATTGTGACTTGACAATTTTTTACATTAAAATCGAATGATTGTTTTTTTCTTTGTCACTCAGGTCAAGCATGGAGAGCGCGAGTTCGAGAAAGAAGTAGAGAAGGAACGCTTAAAACTTGAGGCAAACGAATTTCTAAATCTTGATGCCATTCTCGAGGATGTGATGATCCGACTCGTTATGAGACCACTACGCGAGCATGTTTATGATCTTTTCGTCAAACATTATGCCGAAAATGGCTCATTAAAAACACTTGCCGAAAATCTGCGTCAGGCGCAAAACCAAAGTCTTCATGATCTCGGCGCTAGTGTATGTATTTTAACTCAACATTAAATTATCATAGTAAAGTAAAAATTTTTTGCAATCCGATTCAAACGAATTAGTGTATTCAATTTACAGCCTAAAATTTTGCCACCATCAGCTGAAAGTTTGGATAACATTTTAAAATATTTTGAGAAACTTCAATACGTAGATTCGCCGCTTGAGAAACTTGACTATTCATTAGACGCTATTTATGCCATTCACAATGCGGTAAGTTTGATTCAATGCAATATCTGTAAAGTTTAAAAGCAATAAAATAAACAATAAAAAATTTTCCTCAGGTTAAACATGCAAATGCAGGAAGGTCAGATACTCTTGCAGCGGACGATCTATTACCGATTGTTGTTTGGGTCTTAATTCAAGGTAAAATTTTTGATGCGGGAATAGAAGCTGAATTCATGTGGGATTTGATACACCAACATTCTCTAGTGCCGTACAATTTCTAAAAACTTTTAAACCTAGTCAAGGAACAACATCTTCGTTCAGTGCAAGTACAACATTCCTTTTTTCAAATAAAATAATGAATGAATACGCAAAAATCACTAAGTATATTTTTCATATTCACAGCCTGGATGTGGAGTTCCCGATTGTTCTTGCGTACTTAAGGTACTTGTACCGGATGAATTGCAAGGTTCGCTCATAACCAGATCATTGCCTGCTAGACCAAATATGAATACTCGTGATGTTTGTCGCATCTTAGCCCATCAAATGCGATGCACTAATCCTCAAGATTATGGTCTCTTCAAGTTGTCATGCGGAGAAAGTATGTGTTTTTATATTTAATTTTTTATTTTGAAGTTTAAATGAAGCAAATCATTATTGATCGAGGTATTCTCTACTCTTAGATACTCTGCTTTGGGATCATCGTCGTCCTCAAGATTTAACCGACTGTATGCTAGTTTATAAACGGATCGATGCTAAAATTGCCTGGCCAAGAGCTACAGATGTTAACAAATGCAAAATCACAGATTCCTGATCGAATATTCTACAGCTAAGAGCTGCAAGAATAATGTCAATAGGTCTTTGTTCATTCAATTGAAGAAAAATAATGCATGCAATAATGGTGACAGGAGAAAAAAATTACCACGTTGATATTATTTGTAATACTTTATGTTATAACAGAATAAGTAAAGTTTATTTTATTGTTGTTTATTTTTTCTTTGGTATTTTTTATTTCTCAATATTATGCAAAACTATAAAGATTTTTGTAGAATTGTCCCACGCCGAAAATTGATTTGGAAAATACAAAATAATCAACAGGTATACTGATTGACTCTGCACTGAATATTTAATTGAGTATAAACTTCACACTGATTTTCAATAAACTGCAATGTGTATTATAAAACAAACAATGTGTATTATAAAATATTAACAATGTGTGTAACATGTAAAGTAAATGAGTAAATGAAAATTTGTTAAAAAAAACCCATCATATTATCTAATAATCATACTATTTTTTAAATTGGACTGCCAAGTATGATTGCTCATGCGCTGTGTTGCGGGCGGCAAGTTTTCACCAAAAATTCCACTAAGAAAATCTTCGTTACCGATCGAACCGGATGTTACGAGATTTTTTGCCATTGCGCATTCAAAAACGCGCGAGCCCCTTCAAATCTTTTATTATAATTTTTCATGTTACATACCTAACATTAAACCAGTGTACATCTTTTTTAATTATTCGAACAAGGATCGAAGTATAATATATAGATAGATATAGGAATAATTAAAAATATAATATCTTTTTTTCATTTTATTAAAAGCAGCAGCTGCGGTATATAATTTCATTGTGCATCGATATGCAAAATATTTAAGTCTTATTTTTCGATATACCCAAACTTTTCAAAGAGGTCCCGCCTTGGCTCATGGGATAGCTTCCAGCTGCGGCCGCCACAGGGTCTATGCGCGCGCGTGTTGCAACTTGCAACGCGTTTTTTGAGTCCCAAAGCGAGGCGCGCGCATCTGGTCGTAACCGCCTTCTGCTAGCGAGCACATGTTTTTTAAAGGCCTCGTTGCGACAACGTGCTACGGGCATTACGACTTCGTACAGCGAGCCGACAGCACAGAAGCAACACTCGTGTAGCTCCTGTAAAATCATTTAAAAGTTCTAAATTCAGTGAAATTGTTTCAAGTTCAAAGGCCGAAATATGGTAAGAAGGTTGAAAATGTCGATCGGACACTTCGCGTTCTTCGTGGCGGCTCAACGCAAACTCATCAAGTGGGAAATCGAAGAGCACCGGGTGAAATTTTTCCATCACGTAGACTGGGCCATCGAACGGTGCGTAGACCCGGCCGGCTTCAACCTCCGCTCCATCTTCAGCCGCGAGGAGATAAATTACGCGATGGACAAGGCCGCTCTCAGCCGGCGCAACGACTTCTACTACGAAATGGGACGCAGGTTCGTGAAATTCGCCAACTTGTGCAACTACAGGGACCAGCCCGACTGCCACTGGGAGTTCGACGACAGCCAAGCCAACGAGGAGCCACATCTCGTGGCGACGGGTACCACGGCCCTGCATCACGCATCGAGAAATCCCGAATGCGACAAACGTCTGGTAAGGAGCCTGTTTCGCATCTACAGTCGTCGGGACGTGCACTACGTCGACCTGTTTGGCAACACGCATTTTCACGTTGCGTGTCAGTTCGGCCTGAACGACGTCGTGAAGGTGTACCTGGAGTTCGGACGCGATCCCGACGAGGTGGTGAAACTCACGGGCGAGCTGCCGCTCAGCCTGGCCTGGTGGTACGACAGATCCAAGGCGGTCCGCACGCTGCAGGCGAACGGCGCAGATTTGAATTTGGCCGCGCAGCGCACCAAGGAACGAGCGAAGACCCAGCGGGAGGCTGGCCCGTCGCACCCGCACCAGGAGCTGACGCCGGAAGAAGAGTACAAGCTGGACTTTTAAAGATGTAAATAATTGTTTAAAATTAATGTTAAGAACGACGATGTAAATGTTGAATAGATAAATAAATAAAAAATTGTAATTCGTTAATTTTCTCGTATTTAAATTTATTTTCTCCATGCATGTATGCCCCACGTGCTGCTGCTCTTTAATTCTAAAATTAAGAGAAAGCCGACATCATCAGAGAAAAGAATAACTTTCTCTTTCTCCGCCCGATTAATTCGACACTCCCGAATCCTCGTGGCTCTCCATATATCATATATCTATAATCAATAATCAATAATCTATAATCGATATCTATATCTAAAATCTATATATCTATTTTCCAGTCGCGCGCACATAATATCGCGTATATGGGCTATATCGCGTCATCTAAATTGGGGTGTGATTTTTGAAAGCATGGCGTGGCAGTATTTTGACAGCACGCTGTGCATTTTTCGATATGCAAACATTATGAAAGCATAATGATGACACGATATGCTGTATAGAAAAAAATGTATACTTTCATGTTATAAATTAATTAAAAATATATAATGATCGCTTACCTTAATTAGGAGAATATATTAGAACAAGCAAAGATAGTTTTTTAAAAGTTGATGATTTTCAATTACGAATGCAGATATAAATGTAACTAATTGAATGTTAATAAATATTATAAATTGAGTATAGCAAACTCTTTATTTTTACTACAATTTATTACGTAAATAAATACATATTACATTTGAATTATAATTATAAACATGTATTTTAATAATTATAAGTCCGTTCGATTCAAGACAATCGTCAATCGTTCTCACCTCCCTCCTCCATACATGCATATGCGAACCGCGCAAAATTGCGCCTAAATTGTTCATTTTATCATTCGTTGTTGAACGTTCGCGAACGAAACTTCGAGTTTTCTCTCGCTCTTTGTTTCTCTGTGCTGGCTGAAAATATCTATTTGCTTTTCTTTCAATCCAAGAACAGAATTTTCATCGAAGTTGGATCTGGTTGGACCTACGATTGCTGTCTAAAAGGTAAGTTTGCATTATTATAAAATAAGTATTTAATAATATATTTTAAATGTACACAACTTATGTACATTAACCTCTCCAAGTTTTTATCAGCTCCTGTAATCAAAATAGAAAGTCTTAAATCATATCTTATATGATAGCCTTATGCGCCCAAGTCTAAAAGGCTTAATTAGAAAAAATTAAAATAAATAAACTGCATCGATGCATACAGATACTATCAAGATCATATCCATTGGAAAGTCTTTTCTTAGTTATTGTATGTCAATTCTCAACTATGCAAGAATTGATAGTTGTTCTTTTTTTCTTTTTGGGCCCTTAAGTGCTTCTCAAAAGTTTTATACATACAATGAATTGTCTAATAATTAACTCGTTCTTTAACACTTGTTATCGTTAAAAATATTCCAATCCTGACCATGCGTAAAAGTATTGTTTTAGGGCCCATTGGATCAAACTAACTGTATGGGGGATCATCATCATGTACTAGGAGATCACAAAAAAATTTTCAGGGCATTCGGTGACCCGGACTTGGAGAGCTCTCCTTGTGAGTGCAGCATAAACAGAGTGTTGCTTTTGACTAGGACTTGTTTCATGATTAATGGGCAGATAATATCAACAAATGTAGCTTTGACGATTTTTTCGAAATTTTAATATTTCAAGGAATTATCTTCATAGCTGTTGTAAATAACACTTGAAAAATCTATAAAAGTCACACTGTATCAAATAATTAGGAGTACATCTTTGACGATCATTTCGATATTTCAATATATTAGTTATAATTGATTTGTGAAAAATTACAATAAATATTTTATCGGTAACGTTGCTATTAAAACTCTATCGTTGTAAATAAGAGTATACTTTGCCGGAATTCAAACTTATTTATAAGTAGTTTAATATGTCAAACCGATCATGCAAATAAACATATTATTGATTAACATTATCAAATATTTCATTCAAATAGTTAACCATAACTGTGACTGAGTTTGTGATTGCATAAACTATTTCAATTAAAGTTAGATAATGGTTATCTATTACAATTGGAAGAATAGTAGATGAAAAAGTGTATCATAGTTATAATCAGAAAAAATTATACTTTGCCGGGATTCAAACTTATTTATGAGTCATTGAACAGTTAATATGAGCCGTGCCCGATAATAGAATAATATGTAAAAAAACGATACATGTACTACGCATACGAATCGATTTTGTGACTTAAAATTGTCTAAAACAGATACGCCAATTTCTCATGCATACCATTATCGCAAAAGTAGTTTATGAGTTAATAATCGATGAGGAGTTCTGATTTTTTTGAAAAGAGTAAATTCTGAGAGTGAACTATTGTAGTACGGCCGAAAACCTTTCCGAATCGCCGGACAGAATTTGGTTAAAATTTTTGCAACGATTTCTCACGCTGATGGAAAAAATATCGCAAAATAGTGCACGAGTTAATAACTTTTACTAGAATAGCGATTATGTGTGTGACCAATGTGAAAAATTATCATTATTATTATTACTTTTGCAGGTGGAATTTACTCATGAGTGAATGCATTATAATTAAAATCCAGCGAGAATATCAGCATGTGATATTATACAGGTATTATCCAGCGTGATTCGTCTCATTTTGTTTTTTTTTACCTCTTAGTTGTTTATCTAGATTGACGTCTCTCGCGTGATTTTGTATTTTCATATATATGTGATCAGGGCGTAATTAAAGGATGTACGCGACAACACAAATATTGTTCAAAAGATAAAGAAAAAATGTATTTCTATTGCCACGGCCATACAGTCGTCGTCGTAAAATCTCGTGAAAGGTCGTAGTCACGTTCGGCCAGGATCTCGTACACAATAAATTATACCAACAACCATAAGAAAAAGTATGGCGGCGCATGCCAGGCCTAGAATCATCACAGTGCCGAGTTTCTCGGCGTCTGGCTCCGACTTCTGCCCAATATGCGTGAAAACGAAAAAGTAATTCTTGATCAGTATTGTTCCAACCCTTTTTTATTCTCTTAAAGTAAATTGACATTATAAGATTATTACCCTTTGTTGTGGACTCTCACTACTTTGCGGTTGTGGTGGTGGTGTGTCCATTATTATTTTTACTTGATCTTGCTGGGGGTCAAACCGAACTTGCGGATGTCTCGGTTGGCGGTCAATCGGCTGCGGCGCTTCCTCTCGTCTTTCTGGCTCATCTCCTGGTTGGGATCGTCCGGCAGTTGGTAGTAGATTCTCGGGATTGGAGCCTCTACGCAGCGTGAGAGTCGATACGTTGTCGGCCTCGTCGATTGAACTTCTTCGTCGCGATGGACCGGCTCCTTGGTGCTGGCCGTCTCCCTCTGAAGTCGGTGCCGGATCCAACGTCTGAGGCTCGTCGTTTTGAGAATTAGCTTCACTCTCCGGTAACGACAGTGGCTGAATGTCGTTCAAAAGGGCTTCATCGTCGGAGTGATCTCCCTCAAGTCTACTATTTAAGTGAATTCGATCGATACTCTTCCTCCGGTCTCCAAACGTCATTTTTCCGATGGACGAAAAATGAAAAAGAAACAAAAGCGAGGATACTACGAAAATCGGCTTGTTCAACGTCGTCCGTGGTATTGTCACTTACACGTGACTTTTAGATTCGACGTATGCTCGAGTCAGCAGCACGTAAATATAGCCCGCTGTCGCTGAGATATGTACATCTAACACGTACAACGACGGCGATAACGACAAATTTCAAAAACGAATTGATGATGTATTTTAACTAAATAAAAAGTATCATACAGAAGATTTGGGTGCGATGAAAAGCACAAAAGGCGCACAGAGCTTACTGTAGCAACGACCTTTGCATTCAAATTAATTACAGTGAAAGTCAACGCGTATAATCATGAATTCGAAATTTTACACGATGATGTCTACATTTTGTTTTGATGAATGTCGTCCCGATTGACAAAGCCTCTGAGCTCTATATACCGAGGCTTCGACCGAGGCTATTGATTTTCGTAAAAATAATGAAAAAAAAAGATGAGGAAACGATTTCTTTGATCAATCACTTCGGATCTACTATTGTAAATTAATAGAAATTAAAATATAGGTTGACGCTATTTTGCAAACGTATAATCACAACTTGTACACTACTTCATACTTAATATGCCAATGAATTAGATTCATAAATAGATCTCCAATTTAGTTACATTAGATACCTTTTGACTCATATTGGAAGATCTCCTCAAGAGATTTCACTTAAACAATTCATAAAAAATCGATATTGTATCTGTGAATCTGAAAAAACCTGTAAAAAAATTAAATCAGGCAAATGTTGGTATAATCACAACTTGTACACTACTTCATACTTAATATGCCAATGAATTAGATTTATTAAGAAATAGACCACGACCATCAGCAATGTTAGCCCGTCTGCGCGTCGGATTTCATATACTTACCAGCTCGTGTCTAACCGTCAACACTTCGGTATCTATGATGCAGTGGCAGACATTATTAACCCAGGGGTCCCATCAAGATTCAATTTACAGCTGTAATTTATTCGCTCGGATCCGACGTTTTTCCATATATGCTCTTCAGTTGACTCGTAAAGTCTTCAATCATAAACTCGCAGTAGTAAGCTCTACTAAACCCTTTATTTAATTGCAAGTTTTATTATCGAAAATGATTCTTTTGTTCATTGCTTATAATCTTGAGTTCGATTAAAGCTATTGCAAGACCATAATCCAACATCATAACTCGAGCTACTGTCAGTGCCAAAAAAAATTTCAATGAATTCGATTAGTTAGTGTCACTCGGAGTTTGAAAAATAGAAAAAATAGAAATTAAACAATTCAATATACACTCCACCCGATGAGCGAGAAACGAATGAATCAAGGTATAGTTTGCGAATTTAAACGATCAGTGCAATTTACAAGAACTGACTTTTATCTAATTCTAAATTTTCACTTTCACAGTATCTTCAATATTTTGTCGGAAAAATTTTTAGAAAGAAGCCTGGTTATCAAGTATGGGTTCAAACAATTACGGCATAAACTATATACAAATTGGGAAGTCCGAGGCCAACTGGACGAGGTGTACACCTCACAAATCTCAATTTTTCTTGACATTGACGATGGACCCACCAGCGCGGGTATTTACCTTGAATAGCCCCAGCTCATTTTGTATGTGATAGTCACGAAGTTGCTCGTCGTGTGCTCGTATAGATAAAAGTTGAGTTGCTGCCCAGTCAGGCATATCCTGCGTATAAGACTTTTGCTTGAATAGCGATTATGTTGTGTGACCAGTGTAAAAAGTTATAATTGTTATTATTACAGTTGCAGGTGGAATTTACTCAAGAGTTGATGCATTTATAGGTACATGTTTATATTCTATAGGTATTATCCAGTGCGCCTCGTCTCATTTTGTTTTTTCTTACCCTTTACTTGTTTATCAAGGTTGATGTCTCTCGCGTAATATTGTATTTTCATATATATATGTGATCAAGGTGTAATTAAATGATGTACGCGACAACGCAAATATTATGGTGCATACAAACATTACAGTTATTTATTCAATCGAGTTCAAAACACATAAAAAACATGTATTTCTATCGAGTCTATGTCGTGGCCATCGTCCCTCTCTCTCTCTCTCCTTCGCTATGTGTAAAATCTGGCCGAAGGTCTTGGCGCATTGCCTATAAGGATCCGTTTGCGGGTGGCGTCTCATCCGTCCAATGCCGATGGCTATAATATAAAAGAAAACCGCCGATGATTATGGCTACTATAAGCTGCACCCACCACAAATCGTCCGGATGCTGCGGCATCTGCGTGAAAACGAAAAAGTAATTCTTTATCAGTTCATCGTTCCAATCCTTTTTACTGTTTAAAAATCAATTGAAATTATATCATTATTACCCATGATGGAGTGAACCGTGTATAAGTTTGCCGTGGGCTCTCACTGCTATCCGGCTGTGACGGTTGCGTGTCCAGTGTTCTGTTTGCTTGATCTTCTTGCTGGGCGTCCCGTGACTCTGGCGCTGGTTGGAATCGTCTGGGTGGCATATTGACCGCCCGTTCGAATCGCCTTTCTGGCTCATCCGCTGGTTGGAATCGTCCGGCCGATGGAGATGGAATCGCGGCCTGTATCTGTATAGGATTGGAGTTTCTTCGTAGCGTCATCATCGATATTACATGATTGATCCGCCCCAATGGAATGGCTTCTTGGTCTCTCTCCGCAGCCGGCGGATCCAACGGCCGAGGCTGATCGTCGTTCGAAGGAGCTTCATTATTGAACTGGGCTCCCTCTTGCCCATTAATCGAGTTAATTCGATCGAAGCTCTTCCTTCTTTCGCGAGGTGCCATTTTTATCAGTCCAACAAAAGACAAAAGTCAAAAAATAAAAACGAGGATACACCGTGTGAGTTTACCACGACAATCAGTTCGTTCAACGTCGTCCGCGATACTGGCAGTTAGTCGAGACTTTTAGATTCGGCGTACGTACGTTTAAGTTAGCGATACGTAAATATAGGCCGCTGCGATGTTTACATCTTGTGCGTACGCAACGCAGGAGACGATGGAAAGGGTCGATCGTTAAATTTTAAATATGAACTAATGATGTATTTCTACTGGAAAAAGAGGATTATACAGAAGATTTGGGTGCGATTAAAAACGAATAAGATACGCAGAGTTATATGCAAGCACCACATCGATTTTTACATTCGAAATAATTTTAATAAATATTCACGTAATTATGAATTTGAAGTTGTACACGATGTTGTCTAAATTTTGTTTTGATGAATGTCGTGCCGATCGACAAAGCCTCGTAGCTCTATATACCGAGGCTTCGACCGTAGCTATTGATTTTCATGAAAATAATAAAAAAAAAAAAAAAAAAACACGAGGAACTGATTTCTGCGATCAATTCTTTGATCAATCATGTCGAATCTATTGTTGCAAATTTATAGCAATTAAAATATAGGATGACGCTACTTTTGGACTTGTACTACATTAATATGCCAATGAATTAGATTTGTTAATAAATCTCCAATTTAGTTTATATTAGATACCTTTTGACTAAGGGGCCTTCCATAAATTACGTAATGGTATTTTTTGATTTTTTCGATACACCCCCCTGCCATGTAATGGATAGTCCCATACTGCAAGACAAAGATGAAGAGATTCAATAAATTTTGAAATATTTTAGTTCATTCTAATGTTCTAGTTTACTCTAATGAATATTTAGATACTCACACAAACATATACTGGATTTGCATCTGCTGTTCTATGTATATCTGACATTTTGTCAAATACATCAAAGCAGATAGTCATCTACTGACAAAAACCATAGCTCCAGCTTCTAATCTTCGTTCTCCAAATTCAGTATCTGCAGTAACAGCTGCTGTTAAACATAAAAGAAAAATCATGTCCTGTGGTTGTTATAGCTTGTGGAGTAAAGTTGAAGTACGTATCGAAGTAATTGTGATTTAGCAACTGAAGGATCACTATTAGCACTATATTGATGTCAACAAAAGAGTCGGAAGATTGTACGTTCATGTACTGCTAAAGAGTTTGAAGGAAATAATTATCAGAAAGATAAAAATTAAATTTACCCTCTTGGCCTTGTGCCATTTAGTAACATTTTTTCACATCCACCAAAAAGTAGGCAAAGAATGTCCTTCTTAATATACTCCTGACCATGATTGGGTAGAACGAATGATTTAGCCAAATGCTCAAAAATATTTTTAAGACGATTTATTTTGTGGCTTCTTTTGTCCATTGTGTAACACTTTTTGCAATTAAAACAGTTCTGGAAACATTAAAAATTGTATTTATTAATGTTACCTTTATAAGTATAACAAAAAAAATGAAAATTAACAACAATGGTGAAATATTTATACGAATCTTTGAGAATTGAAAATTAAATTGTACCTAAATGGGCCAGAAGTATATCCACCTTTATTCCCAGGTACACAACGATACTTTTCAATTACTTGGACTGTATCATCAGGTTTACATGGATGAACGAGATCATTATCCATGTAATTTCAATAGTCCTTGGTAATTGACCAGCAGGAGCCTTTTCAGGCATTTCTTGTATTGTTAAAGTTTGATGATCTTGATAAGTTGATAAACCATATTCAATTTCTAATGGATTCCCATCATCCTCCTAAATGAATATTAATTGTAAAATTCCAAATTTGAAGTAGATTGTGCAATTGTTACTAATGTTATTTACCTGAGTAGTTTAAACAGAAGTAGCAGGAAAAGCATCAAACGATGTCAAATCACTATAAGCTCTTTCACTAACTGTTTGAGTTGCTTTTGACAGTTGTACGCTTTTGAGAACTTTTGGTCTTACTGCACGCAAAACCACATAGTAAATTATTTTGTTGCGAAGCTGCATAATAAAATATTATGTTAATTTACTTTTAATATGAGTACTTAGTTATTGAAATTCTAAATAACTTTTATAACTTACATCTGACAACAATTCCTTCAACGCACACCATGTTACCCAGAGATCTTGATGTAACAGTTCTAGGTGTCTTATGTTTGCTACCGAAACTTTCTTCAAAACCGATAAAAAATTCAGTGTTACCTTGGCCATACTGAGTATCAAAGTTTTCAACCATTTGTTTTAATGCTCTTTTGAAGGGTACTATTTTATCACAAGAGTCATTTAATAAACTGGAAAAATGAAAAATTATAAATTACATTTATGAGGTATAATTAATAGGTTGATTAAAATAAAGTAACTGATTACTTACCCAGCGATTCGAGCTAGATTTTTTTTTCTTAAATCATTCATATAACAATTAAACGATGCCTCTCCTCTTCAATCATGTTTTTGATTAATGCGATATTCGAATACAGCAAAACAAATATCCAAATTAGACTTGAAATTACTCTGAAGTGCTGCACTGTAGTCGTAGCACAAGTGGAAACCTATAAGTTTTTCACAATATAATTATTATAAATTATTATCCACAAGTTAACATAATTAGTTCCTAATTTATTCAAGTTAATGTATGTTAAAACAATGCATATTAACGGAACAAAATAAATTAGATTTTTTGGCCTTTTCAAGTAGTCAAAGGTCACATAATTTTTTTTCTCCTTTAAATAAACTTCATTTTTTGTTATCATTACATTTTTCATCAAACGACATATCCAATTCTGCCGACTTAATAACGATAACATAAAAGAAACTACATGATTCACTTACATTATCTTTCTTTTGACACAAAATCCTCATCATCTAACCCAAGTTTGTTCATCTCATCTGCGCTGCACCAAAACACAACACTAAGACGACGGTCACTGGACGCCAACCTTAAACTCGATCGCACTCCGCGATCCAATTCCATGTTTCGTTTCTCGGACACTTTTGAGACCGCTGATTATGAGTAGAGAAATTCGGTTCCAGTATCACTGTTCCAGTGAAGCGCGCGTTTTTTTTTAATTTTTTTGAATTTTTTGCCCACTCCGCGAAATACGCGAGAGGAGGAGGCGAGCGCACGAGAGCGACCCCCGAATGTGACCCGCCGTCGGGCCTATAAAAGCCAGGTCAAGGGCGCAGCGGATCATTATTATTTCTCTATTATTATTTTCTCCTCATTATATATTCGATTACTCAACAGTCAACTTTAAAATTCAATTCGCGACACTTAGTCAGTTTTCGCTACGAGTGCCACGAATTTTCTAAGTCCAGCTATTGCGACATCACGTTCAATACTCACTTGGTGTTGTACGACTCTCGTAATAGCTGACTGAACTGATTATCGGTTCTGCGGGAAGTTATAATCAGTGTAAACAATTGTCGCAAGTGCGGTAATTGTACTGCCGTGGGTGCTTTAGTGTTTTGCGGAAGTGCAAGTGCACCCAACCGTGAGGTACCATCAAGGGGGATCAATTTGTGTTATTTCGACTCGAATCTCCGTCTCGATGTAAGTAATCCTTTGGGAGTTTCCTTACCATCCTATCGCTGCAATACATGCCGAATCAGGTTTCACTCATTTGCTGAATACCGCTAGCAAATTGCAGAGATAACTCAGTACGAGAGAGCTAGACCAGGTCTCACATATCAGTTGAAGCCATAAGATAAATGTGAATATGTAAAAAGTTTAATTAAAGTAAAAAATCTATGTCAAATAGTAAATAATATCTGCTTGAGTACATGTTGACAATCGATGATTTAACCTTTCAAAATTAATTGTTTTGATAACATACACAAGCTTCAAGAACTTCTGTTGTACGCTTTAAAAAAATTGAATGAAGATCTTAAAAAGTAAAATATTAATTAGGGATCAGCTCTTACACAATAGTTGTAACAAATCAATATAGGTACACTAATTTGATTTCATGTTCATATTCATTTCTAAATTCATTTGTCAATAAACTTTGCTGGTAGTACGCTTAGAGTTAATATATAGAGTAATTACATTTTTACATGTAAAAAATGAACATAGAATCATGAAGCGTACAACACATCTAAATTATAAATAAAAGATAGTGACATTGTATAAAAGCTCTTTGCTTATTATCCCTTTAATGTATTTAGAAATGAATTGATCTCTAAATCCAATAAGCATAATATGGCTAATTCTCTGTGAAGTCGAATGGCCAAAGGTTGGTAAAGTTAGCGCCCGAAAAAAAAAATTAGTTTTCAGTTATGGGACCAGTATGACTCGTTTGCGCCTCGAAAATGATAAACAATGGCAAATTTTCACGTTTGCGCATCTAAAAATGTTGGAATAAATAGACTTTTCCGAATGGGCGCTCAAATTCCAGCGCCCAAACAGAAATGCTTGGAAATTCAATAATAAAAAAATTAATAAAATATTTCTCATGGCCAAAATGATTGTTCGTTTAAAGCGCAAACGAACTATGCAAACGGTGTATCGTAAAAAAAATATTTATACAGAAAATTATCGATTTTATTGAATTATCAATTATTCGGCTGCCTTTGCGTCTGCAATTGCCCTGCACGCTTGCGCAATACGCAGAGTATGACCGGGAGTAGCAGACAGCAGACAGCAAACTCGTAAATCGACCTGTGCTCCATTTTCATGTTCATCCTTTTAAATTTTAGAACAAAGAACAATTAAAAGCCAGCTCAACGGCAGACGACCGTTTGTAAGAAACGGTCGTCTGCCACGTGCTAATTGTAAGAAACAATTATTAAGCAACAAATACAACAAGTATGTACAACAATCTGTATTGAATATAACAAATATTTCTTGGCATGTAATATTATATACAATTATAATAAATCTCTAATTCTTTATATCTAAAATTGATTGAAATAATGTTGTACTTGTTATAGTTTATACATCCATCTTATCACGACTTATCAAGATAATTAGAAACCTGGAAACACGTTGCATTGGATGAATAAACGAAGCTACAGTGCTGGCTGGTATTTTGGAGCAGTTGTCAGTTGTAGAGACATGCTATTGACCAAGAGTATCTTGCCTAGAGTGC